CTTTTGGGCATTGCTCCTGCCGAAGTGTGAAGCCGACGACTAGGTGCCTCTTTTCCCCGGGCGTGGCCCCAGTGGGCGTGCCCCTGCCTAGGCGCTATTGCGGGCTTTTGGCTGCTTTCAGGACAGGGACCCGTTGGGATAACAGACCCCGCTGCGCCATCTCAAAGCAACTACCCCTCTGCCGCGGCGCCATCCACCGGAAACGGACCCAACCTCACGAGCACTAATACTCTGAGTCGGCCACTCGCGGTCTACAGATTCGTGTTCTTCATAAGCTAAGCCTGACCCGTAGCTTCTAATCCAGCCTGGTCAAACAACAGCGGCGGCGCATCCCTTTCCCGCTATTTTAAAACTGGGTCCGGTCTCTCCCATGCCTTTGATATAACAGAACTTGCGGCGGCTGGCTGTGCCTACAGTCTGACCGCGCGGAGCAATAGCTGGCGTCTGTTACTCACCGCATCGGCCCCCTCCGGGTAACTAGGTGCTCCGCCATTCTGGTGTCCTCCTTCGTCCCGCTGTTGGAGGATGTCCTCCAAGCCTTCTTGGCCTCCGCCGCGCGATTGCTCGCGCTCTGCCATCACTTCGCTGTTACTGGAGACCGATATGCCAGCAACGTCAAATCGCCTTATCTACTTTACTATTGAGCTGGGTCCCGAATACAAAGTAAATCACTATTTAAACAATTCAAAATCCCCAACAGACGACGTTCTGACTTGCGCTTGCTTGCACGGTTGACTGGCGAACTAGCGTTGTCTGGATTCAGCGCTTTGTTCCCAGCTAATCTTTGTAACGCACTACCGTATCAGTCACTGTCCTCTGGCCAATTCCGGTCTGCTCCTCCCGCGCCGCACTTGCCGTACTACACTACAGGACGAGCACTTAATCAACATGCATTTCTGTTTCGGTACGACCCGAAACTCCCGAAGCGTTTACCGATGTCTGCTAGTGACTTGGCCAGCGACTCCTGGATCGCAGCAATCCGGAATCATCATCCAATCTGGAAGGAACAGAGCGTAACATGGCTGCTGTTATGATTTGTAAAATGTAGGCGTTTGTTGGGGTTCCCACTATCACGGCAAATTTTGGTTAGGTTGTTGGAAGTTGCCCTATTTCGCGCATTACCGGTGTGATCTGTGTAGCGATCGCGGCTCATTGGAAGCGCACCCAGCGAACTAACCAGGTGCTGGTCGCGCAGCGATGCTCGGTTGCTTAACTGCTGTTCCTTAATCTTAGCTCGACTCTCTTGGACGTTACACTCCACACTGGTAGCGGCGGGCACCACGTGAAGCACAACTCCACATCGCGGGCTAACCAGCATGGAATTCTTACTTGAAATGGCGGGGACCCGCATGGAACCCAGCACAGAGCCCAGGTCGCTGAGTTGACCTACGTACATCGGTACCGAGGTAACGTGCTGCCAGCACGAGAAAGTGAGCCCCTCGGCCCAGTTGCCACACACGCATGCGGCGTGCTGATAGTGCACACTAAAGATAGCACCCTCGTGACTGTGAGCCCACCCACGCAATGTTGTGTGGTTGGCGCTCGTTAGGGCGGTTGGCGCTCGTTAGGGCGTTGCACATGTTGAGCCGTTCGGGCTTCGCGGCAACTACCAGGAAACATAACCCCTCTGGTAACTACTTCTACAGCTGGAGGTAGCGTGGTCTCGTGGTCATTTCTCGTGATGGATGTAACGACTATACCTTCTGAGTCAGTAATTCTGGTCAGCTGGAAACGGTGCTTGTTGCTTCGCAGCTGGACCCTTGACGGCAGCAGCCTCCATGCCGGTTGTTGAAGGTTTGGCTATGACACATGGGGGCCCCTGGTGATGCACATCGTTGATCATTAGCGGTGATATGACGCACATCGTTGCTCAAGGACCAGTATTGCAGTCATGAAGTCGTGGAGTCTGCATGGCTGGCCTCCTTCGCGACGGGATGGGGGATAGTCGATCCGTGTGGAAGTGGAGTCCAACGCGTCGAGGAACTTACTAATGCCGTACGCCGGCTGGTCTCATACGATTTTCGTCATTGATGTAGACCCAAGAACTCGCCAATCCAGGTAATTTCTGCGCAGGGATCCTACTGCGTGCCTGCCTTTGTCAAGTTTGTTCTTTCAGCGGTGACTTACCTAATGAAGTTTATGACGAATCAACTTTGGAAACTGTAAAAGAACATTGATCATCGATGCAGCTTGTAATACAAGCATCGTTTGCGGAGGCGAGGTATCGGCATTCAGCAGGTGACGCTATGGCCGCTTCCGTGCGCGGCATTTAAGACGCAACAACGATTTTCAAGAACAGATCACCCGTTGACATTTGCGGTATGTTCATTGCGTTTCGTTATAGCTCACGTCGTGTACGCGCTGCTGTCCATGGACCTGCACGAAATCTCTGCCTGTGCGCACATTCGCAGCGCCGAGGACAAGCGCGCATTGTGGGATGGAATGAAAAAAAAATGTCGATTGGAAGCCCGCAAGGAGGACTGTAACGCTGTTCCTACCATGGTGATGGCTTCCGGGAGTGATTCAACAATAGCAGCCCACACATGCACTGACCGTCAGGCTGCAGCCGCCACCAGTAGTGCTGCTGCTGTTGTGGCATTGGCTGCTAGTGCTACTGCACCTGCTGCTCCAGCTGCTCCAGGGCCAGTAACGCCAGCAGGAGTAGCTGGAGATGGCAGCAGTACTAGTGGTGGTGGTGTATCATCCTCTGTAACTCCACCCTGTGGTGACCCTGTAGTGACCAAGCAGCAGATCCTTACGACTGGACCTGTTGCAGAAGTCGCTGCTGCCAGGGGGCCCGCTGGTGCCATAGAACACCACCAACCGGGGCAGCGAGCAGTTATCACTGCTGCGACTACTGTTACTGTACTACGATCCGTTACGGATCTGGAGCTGGCAGTTGCTCATCTGCGAGCTAGGGACCCGAGTGAGTCATCAAGGCGATTTGAATGAGATAGAAGGGGCCCATCTATCATCAGCGAGTGGTCCAGGGATTGTTGTGACTGACTCATGGGAGCCAGTATGTGAGCTCCTTCATTCCTATATAGGCTACATTGCTCACTTCACTTCCGCCGCCATGCTCCCTGTATTGCACCTGATTACGTCATCCTGCCTATGTATGCCGTACACCCCCACGTGTCCCGTTGTCGTACGCGTTATGCAGAGGTGGTGCCACTTATCGACATGCACGGCCTGCCGCTGCCTTTAATTTCATCCTCATGCGTTACCAGCCCTGCTGTGGTGATGGAGGCTAGCACAGCCACAGCAGCAGCAGCTGCTACAGTGGCGACAACTACTGCTGCTGCCACCACCACCACCACCACCACTATTGCCATGCCTCCTCTTAGCACCTTCGCCGCTTTACGTGATCCCCATGACCCCTCCCTGGGTTGTGGGAAGGGGAAGCGCAGCTGCAGCAGTAGTGAATGTGATGGTGGGGGCCAGAGTACTGCCAACATCAGTGGTGACAAGGCCGCTGCTGCAGGGAGCAGCAGAGGTGGCAGTAGTGGTGGTCCCTGGGACTGCGGTGACGGCCGTGGTGGTGGTGCCAGCCATAGCTTGTTTGCAGCACTGGCTCGCTCTGTGGTTTACCAGCAGCTGGCAACAAAGGCCGCCTCGGCCATATGGGGCCGAGTCTTGGCAGTGTGCAAGGTACGTATGTTACAAGTTACAAGTTCTGCACAAGTGTGGGGATGTCCGTAAAAACCGGGGGGCCCATGGACGGTTACTCGTTTTTAGTGCGGTTATGCAGTGGACCATCATCGTCCTCCCTCATCCGCTTGAGCATGAAGCACCTTAGAGCAACGTGCCGGGTTTCCCAGACTTCCGAGAGGAATCTGGCTAGTGCCAGGGGTGGGGCCTCGGTCATAATCGTGCACATGTTGCGCCCTTGAAACGCGAGGTCACGTTCGTACTTAGCCTGTGTACTAGTGTACGCCGGGCATTCCAAAAGACATACATTTTGTATTCAACCGCTCCACAGTCACAAAGCCTGCAGGTGCGCGCTGTGCGCTCACAGCCGTTAGGTCGGTTAATCTCTAACTCCCAACAGCCTAACCGGAAACACATAAGCATTTGATGCAAACGTGGGGAATGGCGATTTCAGCGTGGGCCGGTATTGCAACACTTACAGGCCCGAAGGAGTTGTTGCCCGATCGGGCACTAGGGCTTGGGTCAGGCCAGCCTGGCCCTGAGGGTATATGTGTACGTGCATGTGGCAGTGTCAATGGTGGCAGGTCCGAGTCCTGATGCATGGCATGTAGGGTATGCAATTGCAAAGAGGGATGCAATTGCAGAGGTATGCAGTACGGGTCAATTTTTCACATTCTTGGGTATCCCTTGGTCATATCGACTATCTGCATCTTCTCAAACTTGGAAATTCCAGTGGAATCCACCACCGCTGTCGGAAAACTACCCACAGCTGTAGCGGGGCCTTCAGCCATATTAGTACTAAACATTTTGCAACCTCAGAAGCTAATGATATACCTCATACTTTACTCGCGGGTCTTTAATGAATGGCAGCCTAGCTATGGGGAGCTATGGGGCCCCCATAGCCTATAGGCTGGTGATTCACTTAAGACACGTAGCTCATCCTCGACTACTCCGCAGTCACAAAACCTGCAGATATGCACAGCAACACTGCCGGCCATTACTAGGCCTGTGAACTTCCAGATCCAATTCCCAACAACCTCATTATCTAGATCTGAAACGCATGAGCACCTGGTGCCATAGCCTAGGCAGCACATGCACAGCCCCGGTATGAGCAAGTGTTATATCACGACTTTTCCAGAAAAGAACCGATCGGTGGATGCAGATCCCGGGTGATGTACCCTACAGGATACTACAGTGGGCCGCCCAGCCGTGCTCCGTCACTAGGAAATGCTGCCTTAACCCCGTCCGGTGGATTCGGTGGGGAAATTTAAACCCCGCGGGTCGGCTATAAGGTGTTAGCTCATGATGTCCACCTCGCAATCAGCCGCTTAGAGAACTACTCCTACAGAATATCACTGATAGGCAGCTCGATGGTAGCATCCTCTGTAGTATCCTGGGTGGGCATGTCTCCTGGCTTACACTGACCTGTGTCATGCATTAGGTTGCGAGTCCTGATCACAACATTGCCAGTCAATACATATCTACTGCAGCCGCGTCCATATGCATGGGTTCTTCTATGTTGTAATGTGTCGTGATGTAATGTTCCCTGTATATTTCAGGCCACGAGTGGCGACCTGCTGACGCCTGGTCAGGTCCTGTCTACACCAGCTGAGCAGCTGAGGGCTGCTGGACTCAGTGGCCGTAAGCTTGAATACTTGACAGGCATGGCAGAGGCCTTTGCGACACGGGAGGGCTGGGAGGAGCGGCTTGCAGGTGTGGATGTAGCTGTATGTATGTGGCTGTATCTATCTATGTACGTATGTGCATGTAGGTGTTATGTTTATGCGTGTATTAGGCACAATTGAGGGTTAGGCACGATTTTGTGGATTAGGCATGATGAGTTAGATGCAAGCAGGTAGGCAGCCGATTTGGTGGGGTGCCTTAGCACCAGCAGTTACAGCTGCTGTGTGCACGTGGGTACGCTGAATATGGTGCATTATTGTGTGGGGTGCTGGATGGGTGCATTACTGTCTATTCAAGGTATGTTAGGATGCTGTCTGCCTGCACACATGAGTCACCTCTAGTCGATTCAAATAACACATGCATGCGCATGTCGCCAAGCACTTGGCGACAGCACTAGTGCTGTTATGTGTGGTGAGTGTTTACATGCGTGCATCCTGTCATGTCATTCTCTCGCATGCACGTTGTCGATCGATCCATCCATGCCATTCATGCACGGCTTCATGCTGTCCATCCGCTTATGTTCATCCATGCATCTGGTTCTGTCCATCCATCTCCACAGCCACCCACGACTTGGATCAGCTGGTTTCGGAGCTGACCTCCCTGCGTGGTGTAGGCAGCTGGACGGTGCACATGCTGGCCATGTTCCATCTGGGCCTTCCGGATGTGCTGCCCTGCGGTGACCTGGGTGTACGACGGGGGCTGCAACAACTGCACAAACTACCGAAGCTACCCCAGCCAAAGCAAGTAGAGGACCTGACGGAGGCGTGGAGGCCATACAGGTCAGTTACCCATGAACTAATAAGCTGTGTCAAATGGTAATTGTTGTATAAGTGGTGATAAGTGTGATGAGTACAGGGATGTTCCATAGTGCTGTCTGTGTGTGTGTATATGTTACCTACATACATGCATGTGCAGGATTAGGGATGTATATGTATGTATGTACTTGCTGGCCGCGGCCGCATGCATGTATGCATGCATGCATGCATGAAGTTTTGTTCATGCATTAGTCTGCCCAATGGCATACTCCAGGCCGGTTCCGGCCCGGTTCCGACCTAACGGGTCCAGTTAACGAGATGGGTAACCGGTCGGTAGGATTACCGAGCGAACCGTTATCCGTTAACCGTCCCCAGTAATCGGTAACCGATGTCGGTAACCTGGCATGAGGAAAAATGCATTTCTGATTGCAACCAGTTTCTTTGTGACAATGCCCATTGTCACAAGGTTCATGCCCACGTGTCACACCCCGACAAGCTTAGGAGGTTAAGGCAATGTGAATGCCGGGTGACAGGGGTGACAGTCTTGTGCAGGCACATTTGGAGACTAGTTTACACTGAGATTGGGGTGATGTTGGATTAGAATACTTGCAGTTCATGAAATTGAGGAAATGTGTTGCATAGGCATATCCAAACGTTTCAGAGGGACGTTGTTTCGCCCGTAACAAACTTGTTACGGGCGAAACAAACTGGATTTCCACAGTCCCACCACTCAAAGAGCTCCCCACACCATCGCAAAGTCCCTTTTTTATTACAGACACATGTAACGAGTTGTCATAGCTTGAGATTGTCGATATATGACTGCTGGATTGTGACCAGGCCATCTCCTTACATGTCTTGCTGCACCAGCATGAGCAGTGATCCCTTCTGTTCAAAATTTTCAGGCAACATCGCAATGAGGCAAAACATTGTGCCGAATCTGCCGTACAAAGAGTGTCAAAGCTTCACGCTACTAACGGACGAATACATAAGCATTCATTTACCTTGAAAGAATAAAGGAATTCTATAGCTTCATACAAATTCGCCTATCAGCAACTCTCCCTGGTCGTTCAAAAGTTGCTTGACGATTCTACCATCTCCATACTATGAAGGAGCGCTTCTTCATTTCTTCATTTTATCGGAACCTTAACGTATCCTTCCAACACAATGTCCATGGACAACGGTAATGAGGTCGGCGCCTACGAGTTTGACCGGAACGCCCTGGACAACATCGCCCGTCGGCGACAAGATCGCCCACGCAAGAAATACAGCCAGCATCGTCCAGTGGATGAGTTTGGAGTACATAAGTTTGCCAGGGCAAACAATCTAAGTCAATTTACCGCGTGCCAATTGGAGGATGCCTTGTCCAAGGAAAGGTGCCATATGGACGACCTTGTGTTAGTTTAGTTGTTGCATGTAAGCTTGTGAGTTGGTGGCCTGGTTCATGCTTATGGGCGACAATTGAAATGCCGGGACAATGACTTATTAGGGACATTGACACGGCATTTCACGCCCTCAAAGCGGGAACAAACGCTAAAACTAAATACATACATAGTTCTAAATCTTCTACTAAAATTTTCCTGCAGCGTTAGAGGCCTTTAAATAATATTGGCGAACGCTGCTTCCCGCGCTACCGGGATACTCCCTATGGCATAAACATGCCGGTTACCGACCGTTTGGGGCCCATTAACCCAACCGACCGTTAACCCAGCTGATCGTTAACCCAACCGACCGTTAACCCAACCGGGCCGTTAACGCCATTCAACCGGCCGGTTGGGTTAATGGGCCCCAAACGGTCGGTAACCGGCATGTTTATGCCATAGGGCTGTTGTGACGTTGTCACTGGCAGTCTCTGCTGGTCTGTGCATGGTTTGTTAAATCAATTCGCTTTTACTAGTAGGGATATCAGTACTGATATCCTATCCATCCTCCTACACAAGCAAGCAAACAACCACAAACGCTAAACGAAGTTTGATGAAGCAAAGGGGCCCAGTAAAAGGCCTCCTAGCTATGAAACTAGCTGTAGCAGTGAGGGTGCACATATATGACGGATAAACACACGTTAAGGCACTTCACCACCACCTATAGAGGCCTTTCCAGCGGCCTACAGTTGACTCTCCATTCCGAGGCCGAGGTGTACACCTATCGCATAAAAACTGTTTGTGTGTGTGTGTGCCTGTTGCACCTCGGTTGTGTTACGCAGAGAGGTGTAACAAGCCCTATGGCATAAACACGTCGGTTATTACCGACCGTTTTGAACACTACCGGGGTTCGTTAACCGACACTCGTTAACGACACGTTAATAGGTCAGTTGGGTAAACGGTCAGCTCGGTAAACGGTCGCAGTTGTGCATGCCTGCCTGTGCGCATGCGCATGCACATGCTTGTTTATACACATGTGCATGCACATGCTATTATCTAATCCCATTCAGCAGATTTTGTCCATACACATGTATGTATGTATGTATATGTACTACATGCAGGTCAGTGGGCTCCTGGTACATGTGGCGCATTCCGCCGCCACCCAGGAGTATTGCTAGTAATACTCCCACCACAAAGAACAGCAGCGGCAAACGAAAGACTATGGCAGCTGCAAAGACAAGAAGCACCAGTGAAGGGTAGATTTGGTCTACATGTACACATCTATTCCTACATTTACCTGCTCTGTGTACCTATGTATCCTGTATGTGTAGTCGTGTGTACATACGTGTATATACTTGTGTGTACCTGACACATGCCTGTCTTGTCGCGGATAGTGGCTGCAAGGGAAGAGGCACTAACCTTGGCTAATAACCTTGGCGTATACCGATGGGCTGAAGGCCAACGAAGGTTTTTGTCCTCGACAACATGGATGAGGAGGAGGGCAAGGCTTTTGTGTATGCTTTGTACAGATACAGCAGTGTATGTGTTGCATGCCTGAGAATAGCTTATGCAATAGAGAGCTGGCCGCTGAAAAAACCACTCAAGATGCTGGTGGAATGCCTTAAGCTTAGCATGTGTGCCGTACTGTGTACCAGCTACCACATCATGGCACTCGACAGAGCATTGTATCCATGAGCGAGGTTGACAACTCCTTGGGGAACCAGATTTTACTGACTGCAAAAAGTTTACAGACAGTGTTGCATGCTGATCAGCCTCCAAATTTGGAGAGGCCCTTTAAAGGACCCCCTACCGCGCCACAAATTGGCTGACTGTGTTGTATTGTAAGAGCTCTGTCTTATCTATCTACTGTTAAAGGCTAGCGCTACCTTACATTCATTCAGCAGCCATTCAGGCGGGTTCACCACTGCTGCTGCTGCATGCCACTGTATGTGCGTGCCCATAAATGCAATATGTTTGTTGCCGTCAGGAGTATTGGATCATCAATGATGCAATGCTTAAAATGTGCCTTTATCCCTGCCTGCTGCTACACTATAGCCCCAGAACAGCTGCATCTATGTCCGAGCCGAAGACATACCTAGCTAGATGCACACAACAATACCATGGAACCAAGTGATAGATTCATTCGCAGATTGGCGGATAGGTAGATGGATATTCGGGTAAGCGGTGCCACCAGAATGGATGCTGCCCTGCCATCACCTCCAATGCGCCTCAATAAAATCCAACGACCTAAGAGAACTGCACATCCCTGGCAGGAGCCAGTTCGTGTCCTTAGCAGTGGAGTCGCACAGAGCGAGTTGGATGGAGGTACCTCAGCCATATGCCTGTATGTAAAGCGACTCCTGCCAACAACTAGGCACCGTCGTTACCTATATGCTGCTGCCTATGATGAAAAAAAAATGGCGGATAAGATTTGCCATTCAACTAGCCACAGCCATGCCATCCCGCATCATCGTGCTTGCTGGAGGTGCCGCCTCTAATGCCCGCCGTTGGCTCCAAGTTATGTTCTTTGGGCGATTATTGCCGACTGTGCACTGGTGACAGCACTTTGAACCTTTCCATCCTCCAGCAGCCCTGTTTGAAGGACAGCCTTATTAACAGGGCCATCGGCCGCATCAACTTGCCTGGTCGAGAAAGCGGGATGCTGCTGCTGGTCCATTTTTCCTAGGAATTTCCGTTCAATCTTACTCTGGAGGATATTCCAGAGATCCCTGGCCATTAGCGCCATCTCGAACAACTGGAAGAGAAGGACTGCAAGCGAGGTCAGGAGAAAGCACGCTGCATGCAGCAGGTGGCAGAGGAGATAGACCCAAGAGGGTTGAAAAGCTCGTTAAAGCAAGGAAATGTGATAAGTGCTTGGTGGCCAACACCACTTTCATGAATGATCATCTTTGATTAGTGGGTCTGGTGTGTGCATGGCTGGTGTAGTTTCCTGGAATATCACGTTCGTTTCACGGAAAGTGCTTTTGGCCAGTTATACAGTGAGCGAGTAACCAGCCAGACAAGTGGTGTGTATATGCTTACCAATCATGATGTACGTGGTTGGCGCCTTGTCACTCGGTCTGGAGCCCAGAAGCACGAAAGCAGAGATGAACAGTACCAGCTCAGAAGCATGACCCACAAACTCCATGACCTGCCTTGACCTCTGGCTAAACGGCCGCCATATCGCCAGGTATAACACCATGGCAGCCTGAATCACGCACAGCAGAACCATCTGCAACATGCTGCGTGTCTGCAAGCTGAGGAAGCCAAAGATGCAGGCAATGAGCGCCTTATGTGTCACATTTATTGCCCCAACGGACAAGATCATCTTGGTCTCGCGGCTGGAAGGATTGCTGCTCCCCTGCAAACAAAACGAATGTCAGTTGGTAGCTGGCACTCTGGTGGGTCGATTAAGTCCCGGCGTCTTCCAGTTCCTTTTATTTAACAGTGTGCCAGGTACACATCCTACGTAATATGGCTGAGGGGAAAAGTAAGATCGCATGCAAACTAGGCAGTGCTTGAATGCAACAGTCTATTGCTGAAGTGATTTGCCCTCTGCGTGTAGGGCCTATTGGATTTCTGGGTGTTTTCAGTCCTCATCACAAGAAGCTATTGCTGCTGGCTGACTGCTTGCAGTCAGTATGTTACGCTACAGCTTCGTTGGAACGTACTTACAAGTATTCCCTCTCCAAGCATGAACTCAAACCTTGCCAGGAAATGCACCGGAGGTGTCAGATGCAGCCGCAGTGGCCAGCAGTCTCGCCGGTACTGCAGCTGGTACACAGGCACCTGCTTGCCTGCGATTATGCAAGGTGCACATAGAATTGTACCTAGGTTACTAATACGAACATATGTGAGCAACACGAGCACCCATCATTTCGGTTTGCACAGAGTGTAACGTATCCAAAAGATCAAATGACAAGCATGCAAGCTTGCATATTTAAGTATGCTTGGACACGGCAGCGCTGCCGCTGGCTGCAGCCAGCCAGCACGTGCAGATAGAGCTAGGCATGAATGAATGCATGCATGCAAAACAAACGCAAGAGTAACCACAAAATTTCAATCGGAGGCAACCAGATTATATCATAATTCATAACAATCACCTCTTGATTTGTAAAGGAAGGAGAAGTGATCATAATGTCGAAGCATCAGGAGTGCAGGCATTTAACGACTTTCAATGCCTAATCATGCCCTTACCAGGATGCATTAACAAAAGGCGTTTATCTACACCTTGCGGTGCAGAATACGCGACAGCATCATCTGAGGTCTTGAATACAGCATGTCGCCTGTGAGGCTGAATTACCACTGCTGTCCAAAAGGTCCGTGCACGTGACCGACCCGCGCTATTGGCGTGCCTGGAAAAGGAACCAGACCGAGATGATGCGTCTGCAACCACACCTGTATGGCCGGCAGCAGGAAATGATGGGCCTGCAGCTGCACTACTACCAGCATCACCCTCTTCACCATTATGACCGTTACTGTTACTGTGATGTCGCAGTGTGCAGTTATTACCATCATCCATGCCCATCCCTTCGTTATTGCGGCTTAAGCTTGGCTGCTTCCCACTGGAATTCCGTGGGATTGATCTTGGAGACATAGTGCCACGAGCTACCGGAACTGACGCCGTATCTTGCTCAGCAAGCAGGTTGTAATACTTGACGAAATCCCACCGTGTGCGGTCACTATCCTTGCCGCCGCCATGTGCAAGGCTGAGGCTGCCCAGGGTACGGGGGGACAAAGCTGGCAGTAAGGTTGAAAGCCTCGAAGGCTGTGATCCAGACGGTAATACGGTAAGGGGTGGAAGCTGTGTTGGGCGACGTGGTGCTATGGCTTGTAAGGGGGGAAGGGGCGGCCTGGTGTTCGGCTGGATGGGCAAGAGGGAGGAAGGCTGTGGGGATGGTGGCGGCGGTGCATCAGCAGTAGGGGTGGATGAGTCGCGCTCAGTTGCCTCTCCCAGAGGTCCTGCTGCCGCAGTAGCCACGTATTCCTTACTGGAATGCGTGTTGCCACCATCGTCCCCATGTTCATCATGTGGGTCCTTGCTGCTTGCGTTGCTAGCATCTTGGGGTTGTTGTCTGGTCGCCCAAGTAAATAAGGCTTGCCTTTTGGCCTTCAATTTCAATCCATCGGTCATGGAAGCCCTGGTACCCGGTCTGAATATTTGTTGCCAGGATGTCTTGCTGGATAGGCCATTAGGTTTTTGTTGTAGTGTAGCTGTGACAGCACATGTGGCTGGCCGTTCCAGAAACTGCTGTCCATTGGTATTGGCATTCCAGGCTATCTGTGGAAAGCTGCTTTGGGCCATGGGTCCAGCAGCTGCTGGATGCTTGACACCGTTCGTGTCGTTGCTCGGGCCGGTGTTGTTGCTATCGGAAGCTGCATCAAGGCACTTCTTGTTGCTGTTGAGAATGGGAATGAATTGACCAGGGCAGGTCTCCGAGGACCCTTCAGTTGCTTTTGTAGGATCACCCGTCACACCGCCGGCCTTCGTTCGTTGTGTGTCGTCGATGAATCGTCCATGAGACAGAAACATAATCGGGAGGATTTGTAAATATGGGCTTATCCTTTGGATGGCTATCCACTTGCTTCATGATGGATGACCACCGCTTTATTCCAACTAAACTTGCGCTTGACAAGTTTATCGTTAGAAAACGGGTGTGAAGGCAATAATTGATATTCGTGTACTGCACCATACCCATTCATTTTGTTCATTGTCAAGCCATGCACATGCAGCCCATCATAACCAACTCAGGGTGCGGCATGTAGTGTAGTGGCATGCATGCATCCTGTTTCTTATGGTCCTGCCCATACACCCTACCTTGTTCGGTGGCAATCCCTTCAAGGCGGCTTCACCCACAGACGAGACTTTGGGAGCGCTCTTTAGGCTGCCGGATGATTCTTCTAATGGATTCTGCCGCTGTAATGGCACTTGGTCATGGCGTAGTAGCCCTTGCTGACGTGATGGCACGTCGCCCTCCACAGGTACCATACTTTTTCTGGCCTTCATTCGGGGCTTCTCAATGATGGTCCTTGAAAACGTGTTTGGTTTATCACTAGGCCTGGACCATACGACTTTGTCTTTGTTTTTGGCTGATGAATGACTGGTCAATACCTGCTGAGATGCTCTAGGCGCGAGTGATGACCCCCTCAGCACAGACGGCTGTTCTAGCACCTGGGCAGAAAACACGTGATCTATGTGCTTAGTAGTACTGCTGCTGAGTTCAAGGGCTGGGAGCCGCCGGTGACCATAATAAGCAGCAGATGCTGATGGCGATGTGAAATAGTCATTATCTTGGGCAGCAGCACCAGCGGTACACATGGCTTCCTGTGCTTGTGTCATGGCTGCACTGTAGCTTCCAGCTGCAAGTTACACGAAGGAAAAGGTAAAAAGTAGCAACAAAAAACAAAATGTTGCAGGCATCGACTGGCTGGCTGCAGAAATAAGGCAAACCGTACTTATTAACAGTCACAAAGCAGGCAAGTAGTAACAGTGATGAGTGCTAGGGAATTTAGCAAAAAAGGGACATGCGCATGTAACATGGCGAGACCACTACTTATCATCATTCATCACTCTTGGTGATGTCCCTGTGAGATCAACTTGCATACCCTACATTCCTGAATTGAAATATGTATGCTGCAACAATCACACACATGCATCGCTTGGCTGCTCGTTTACTCATATGTACACGAGGGGCATGCATACACGAAAATTCAGGATCAACCCCCGCATGCGGGGGCCAAGGACTGCGCAGTCCTTGGCCCAATAATGATGAGCCACCCAACCCGCCGTCCTACGCCGTGAATTGAACCGACCGGCTAATAAGGTACATATGACAATACATTTTTTACATGGTCGTGCTTATTACCTGTAGCCACATCAGGTCGGACAAGGACTGATTCAGTGGGCACCAGAGCAGGGCTTACTGACGTAGCAGCACAGGCAATGTACGCTTCGTTGTCAGCACCAGCAGGGATCTGGAGCTCCGCAAATGGATTCTCTTTAGGGCAGCATGGATTCATTCGTGAAATTATTCGGGTGAACTCGTCAGCAGCAGCCGGTGTACATGAAAGGATGTACAAATTAGGATGTACCTCTGAAGCCTATGATGCATGCATGCTAGTGCGCTATCTCTTTGTGGCTTTTAGGCGTTCAGGTCTTGCCCTTGGGCCTTCGGCTAGTGTCATACGCGCCCATGATGGGTATTTCTACAGGTATGGAGTCATGCAACCCAACCATGTAACACACCTCATCCCTGGACCTACCAGAAGTTGGTGGGGTGCTAGTTGCCATAGCCATGTTGTCCATTAAGTTGGTTGGCCTCCTTGTTCTAGAAACGGTTCCAATAGGAGGGAGAGATATGCTGCTCCGGGCGGGGTCAGCCTTATGATTCATAGAGCCGACAGCAATACTGCCTGCTATAGCTGTACCGGCAGACATGGAAACCAGGGAGCCGTCATTATTAGCTGCTGCGGCAGCTGTAACCTTTGCTGCCAAAGACATCACCGACGGCTTGCCCTGTGCTGCCTGAGGCCCTTGGTCATTGTCGCAGCTAGAAGGTACTCCAGCACTGCTACCGAGTGCAGCAACGAATCCCGGAGAGATATTCCGATTGCTGGCATGCCCTGTTGTCCTGCTGGTCTTTTGAGATGAAGCCTTCCTGTGAAGGGTACAGGCAGCGGCGGCAGTACTGCTAGGACGCTCAACCCCAGCGCCAACAGCAGCCTCATTATTAACTCCTGCAGCTATAATGTTGCATCCACTTAGCATCGGGTCCGCTTGCTGCATGCCAGTTTGCTGTGTGTCCAGATCTGCTGTTGACGGCAGGACATGGTTGCTGTGAATGCTTGCAAGGTTGTTGCCGGTATGAGGAGCACAGACTATGGCGATGATGCTACTGCTGCTATCCAGCTTACGATGCTGGTGCTGGGTGGTATCTGGCAGTGGGCCTTGCCGCCCACAACTAAGTGTCGCCGGAAGAGACCCTGCTGAGTGAAGCGGCTCCATTCTCATGTCGCATTGTGTAGAGAGATCTTCGTTGGTTTGGATGGCGCAGTAGAACACACCGACAGAAGGTAGCAGGCGAGCCAATAAACAAAGGAAATTAGGGTCAGTTAGTGGAAGCAGGTCCTTATTTCTGTCCTTTCTTCTTGCCTCCACTCAGAGGAAAGGAGACATGCATACGTAATAAGCAGCCAGCAGTGGGTACAACTCGTAACAAACCAAATAATAAACCTAAGGTGAAAACAGGTCATTAGGACTACTAGGATACTAGGATACTTCAGCATTAAGGGCCATATGCTTGCTCGTTGGGCTATCTAGGTCGTATCAGACAGAGAACGCGAAATTCCCCTAAAAACATGGTTTGCGTTCCGCAATATGCCTTCCTTAAAATGCCTTCCATATTATGGTGGCAGGCTTATGGAAGTCGACGTGGGATCAATAACGACTCACCAGGGAGCGCCGGATCGCACGGCTGTTCAATGAAGGGCTGGTTCTCTGCTATACCTGCTGCTGTTGGTGATTTGTCCAAGACATGGTTGCCAGGAGTTAGCTTCAGATCCCTTGGGGTATTACAACCGTGGCTCATCAACGTCTCAGCCCCATCCAAGGTCTGCTGGTACCCTGCTGTGCCATAATCATCCCTACAGCCGCCTAATCCGCCGCCTCCGACCCGGCCATGGGGGTCAGCTGACGGTAAAGGGCTGCCATTACGACTGCCCTCATCGCGCCTTGTGTCCACTAGTACTGCTGTCTGAAGCTGCTGATTTAGAGTGGGTGATGTGCAATAGGATGGCTGCAGACACACACGCGGCCGGCAGGTCATGAAATGCTCAGAGACCTTTGCAAAGACAAAACTCGATTATGTATCCTATCGTGAGTGAGAAACCAGGCATGCATCCTTGCCACGCTTGGTTATAGAGCAGCGACACCGCCTGCTGATATGTCCGGAGCAGCGATATAGTAAATATCTTCCGGTGTAGATTTAATGCATGACTGACGACCTTCTCACCCGCCCGACACCCCTATCTGCGGGCTTGCTGGCTCACCTTCTCCTCCAGGTACCAGCGGCACACCGTCAGCCACCAGAGCAGCACAAAGTAGGGCAGCACAATGCACGCCAACACGAACACCGCCAGGATGTAGCTGACACGACTTTGTGAAGCCGCAGGAGCGCTGAGCGTGAGGCAGGAATAGTATGTTACTGCTACCAGCAGAGGGCCTGGGTGCATAAGTAGGGGGTAAGGGTGCCCTGGGATTATTATACATGGGGAAGGCCGGGCGGCTACACAGCAGGAAAAAATAAACCCTGCCGCGCACGGGTGAAGCTCAGCTATAGCGTTCTGTCACCATACTTTTACGCCGTGCAGCCACAATATATAATTTATAGAAATCAAATAAGTAACAAGAGACCGACACAAAAAGCCCACTTTGTTCACACGCCTGATGCTGCCCTACAAAAGTACTGTAGCCCATACTGCTATAGGTAAACTAGGCATGCATTCAGCCGCACAAAGACTTACTTGCCAGGGTTATCTCTATCCGTGGGAAATGCAGCACGGCTGGTAGATCTGGTCCCAAATACAGGCGATATAAAATGACTACCACGGTATGACCAAGTGTCACGGCGAATAAAAGGAGTGCCACAGTAGCGGCAGTATAAACCATGTCTTGAGTGCTGATCTGAATTACTGTGGGGGTTGCGGCCTTTTTGGATGACGAACTCATCGGTGGTGATGGTGATTCAGTGGAGTTTCCACCATTAAACACCACACGTCCACTCGGGTCAAGGATCACCGAGCCATTGGTACCGTTGCCACTGGCTACCCCCACAATCACATACTGGTTTGATATAATGTTCATGTTGTTGGTGCTGTTGCTGCCGTTGGTGAACTGTGACAAGCTTTTTAGGAAAGAAGTCAACACATCCTGCAGCTGCGTGTACTGCTGGTCCCCAGCAGTCTCTTCACGGGCCGCTGAAGAACCATTGCTGAAGGGCGGTGCCTGCCTGCTATCTGTTTGGTTGCCTGGTGTCGGTGTCAGCATGGCCGCTGGCCCCAAGATGGTGTGTTCCTGTAGCTGTCTCAGCTCTTCAGCAGCTGCTGAAGACAGGAAGCGATCCCGATGGCGATGTAGACCGTCCACAGCATTGTCCTTTACTACCGGAAACTCAGGGGGTGCCGATGCTGGAAACACTGAAGGTGGTGTTACTGGCAGAGCTACGGTACCGTTCACTGGCGACCACAGGCCAGCAGTGGCTGAGTTCACCTGGTCTGCCACCTTGACCTCCATCGGTTTGCCAAAGGCGGTATCCAGGATCGGGATGTTGCCCTGGATGCTCATGACTGACCAGCGCAGGTTACCCGCGACAAGACGATAGCGATGGCTGACACCAGGTGAAGCAAGGCTAGCAGTCATGGCCAGCAACTGCGTGAGCCGGACAGGATCATTGATGCGCATGGCAGGGTTGCACATCAACGGGCATCATGGAGCAGCAGATCTAGACCAGCAGGCAGCAAGGCATGTGCAGTGGTTCACGGGAGTTGACATCTGCATGTTGGGTAATGCAATTACCTGATCTACAAGATATGCATGAGTGTACAGCAAAATGCCACGTGTGCAGCCGGGAGCCAATGGCAGTGTCCTCAAATAGCTCAGACGACTCCTGTACCATATAGTTAAAGGCCATTTGCTACATAGCTATCCACCTGCCTGTCGCCCAGCCCATCGTCACGCAGTCCACCCACACCCACATCCCCTCCCCTCCCACCCACCCCACACCCACCCCACACCCACCCCACACCCACCCCACACCCACCCCACACCCACCCCACACCCACCCCACACCCACCCCACACCCACCCTCGCCCTCATCCAGCGAGTCAGCCAGCGCACTAACCTGGAAATGGTATGCACTATTCAGCATGCTAAGACGGGAGGTCAAAGCGGAGAGGAAGGACGTAGAGGCAGCGGTAACCGAGGCGCTGGAGGTGAAGGTCGTCATAAGGGCTCCACCCAGCCCAGTAATGGGAGCAGACGATGACCCTATTGCTATCCCGGGCAACTTTGTCTCCAGATGCAACGACCTGTGTTAGGTGTAATGCCATGAATCGCACATTCATTCACATGTAGTGGAAGTAGGACTGACACTTAGCGGAAGGCAAGCAGCACAGCAGCCTGCGGGTGCACCCTGAAGGTGCTCTACTACTACTAGTAGGGTGCACATGTGAGCAAGGGTGCATGTAACATGTTTCTTGCATGGCCTGGAACGAACCTCGCTTCATGGCCACATCACATCATGTGCCGGCGCCAATGCCTTCATCTATGCACCATTTAACGCTAAACCATAGCTAGCATTTATTAGCTGCCATACGCAATTACTCACTCCGTATTCAGGTTGCCTGTCAGATCGCTCAAAACGCCCTTTGGCAGCGTAATAGACGCCGTGCTGCCCTCCGGGCCGTACAGCACCGCCAGGCAGGACTGCACGAACCCCATGCCAGATGCCATTACATATTTCCTCATGAACCCATCGCTGAGCTGCATTAGCTGGCCGATGGTGGGCGACGCAATCGGTGGTGACCCTGCCAGCCCGTCAGGAAACGACGAAGCCGCCACCGTTGTCGGCGCGTCTCCCGCTATCTTTGCTGCCGTTTCAATGTCCTCAAAGCACTCCGCACGGAGGACCGATACGCTGTCACTGAGCTGCAAAGCTGCTGACATGTCAAATTTGTGAACGGGCTCGGACATATTAAGCAAAACCAGCAAGTATCGCAAGACTGGGAAAATGGAATTGCCCATCTGTATGGCTTTGGTGCGGTTACCAAGCGCCACCGATGCCTTTGACACAGACAGCTGCCCAGAAAGCCGTGGAGGATCGATGTCCACCACCACCCAGCGCCACCACACATGCTGGCCGATCTGCACAAAGTTGCATGAAGGAAGCAAGCATCACTGATCATCATACGATCAGCAGCAGTAGCGGCTGGTTGATGCATTTCCATTACTGTAGTAGCTGGTACACAGTACGGCACACATTTCAAACTACAAGGGTTTGGCACTACTGGTAAGCCGCGACCATTGCCCCCGGGAGATCCCGGGATCGATACCCGTTAGGGTCAAAAGTCCTTCCGATGGTGGAAGGCATTGCACCCCTAGTTGATGGACGGTGGTGACCTGAGATAAAGTCAACTTGCGAGCCGACCAGGAACGGAGTTGGGCCGCTGTCGACCCGGCAGATTCCGTTGGATGCTGGTGGTGGGTGCGGAACCTGAGCGATCCACTGAGAAGTTGACTAGGGTGACTGGATGAGGGTGCCCCGAAATACCGGGGAAGGCAGGGTTTCGCAGGGTAGCTGCCACGGGCGAAGATAGCCCCCCCTGTTTCACACATCATATCAAACTATAAATACACGCAATTGCAAAGCGCTCGACCAGCATCCCGTGAGGTTTTTGTATCACGTCTTTTCGGAAAAAAAACCGATCGGCGGATGTCAGATCCCGTGATACCCAGGATATTACAAAGGCCTTTCAGCGCCCAGCTACTACAATTACTGGGAGTACGAATTGCATGAGCAATCGCACAACTAATGGGCCAGGAAATGAGCATGGGCTGCTACTAGCATCTGTAGCTCACCGCTGGAAAGGCTTCTTAAGACGCTGGCAGAGCACCTTAGCGCGCACTTATAGATATAGACGATGTGTGTGCTGTACTGTATTACAGCCACTATAAATACTGCCCGAGTGGTTGGTCGCGACTGGATAGCTCCACACGCAGGCGAATGCTCGCCGCCATACATTAATAAAATGGCACTTGCTTTGCCGCCTTCGTTCCATGTGCAGCAGTGTGGTCCATGCACTTGGCCAGTTTATGTTATCACTGTGCAAGCATCTGCTGCATGCACATTTACATACCTCATATGCAATGATTGCACCTCCGTACATTCTCACCTCAATCCTGAAAAGGTAGTCGCCACTGCACTGGGGCTGCACCATCCAAGCCGCTGCTGGGCTCTCCCCCGACGTGACTGTGACACCCGTGTTGTTGCTGTGCCCCGGGTCTGTATTGTTGCTGGATGAGTCCCTGCCGCCGCTGCTCTCATTAGTTTGCTGCCCTGGCGTGGACGACGTCGGCACTGTGGTAATATTCATTTCCTGAGGGAAAACGGGTAGAACCACACATGCACACCATAGAGTGCCGGAGATTGCCTGCAACCTGGAGGGGCATTCCCTTTGCAACGGAAGTGCGTCCACAAGTTGCCTCTGACCTTAAGCAAACGGACCTAAGATTTGCTGGACAGCTGCTTGGACAGCTTCGCTTTTCATCAGTTGCTAGGTACCGAGTGTAGCAGCCGGTACACAGTACGGCGCTATAAATATGCGCGTAGCGCGACCACCAGCATCTCGTGAGGCCTTTTCAGCGGCCAGCTGCTACACCGAGTCCCATGTGAGTGGCTGTACAGCCACTTGGAACACATGTGCGCCATAATTAAACGAATGCACCACTAAGGCTCTGCTTAGTGACTGGGGCTCTGCTTAGTCGTCCATAAAACGATCATCGTCTATAGATCTTGCCCCGGATGGTATACTAAATATGTACCGTACCTATCTATTGTATGTACTACAAGGGCACGATCCATAGACCATACAGCTTTTCACAGACGGTGAGCTATGTGTGACGTGTGCTTTCAGGAATGCTGGACTATCGGTTTTGGCTTCATGCCATGATGCCAGGCGACGGTTTCCGGGGACTGGCAAGTGACAGCACGGATACAGGGCCCGGGTGGATGGCTGCTGGTGAACAATAAGGACAACTTCCGGCCGTTCATTGCTAGCCACCTTAACCTGCAGCCGTGCAGTAACTGGCTGCTGAAAAAGCAGGCCTCTCAGGGTCCTGACATTGCGCCTTAGTGCGCATTTATTTCATGAACATAATGTGGGCGCACGCCCCTTGCTTACAAGCAACACACACAAGCTAGCGAATACAACACACACAGCGAATACATACTAGCGAATTGTCAACGTCGCAACTATAGCTGCAAGAAAGCATGCATTCACCTTTAGCACCCCACTGCCCTGCGCTGTTTGGTTGGCGGCCAGTGTAAACAATACATCGAGGGAAGGCAGCTTAGGCAGCGTTGCTGGACTGCTGCCTGTGCGAGCCAACTGCTGCGGGTCATAGATTGATGCCGTACCGCGTTCCAAAATAATGTACGACACACGGCAACCACAAAGCTTGCAGTACGCTGAACCACCGTGAAGAACCGAGATAGCGATGTAGAATGGGCCTCTAGAGATGGAGGGAATGGCGAAGCTGACCTCCTTTATGGCAAGAGAGCAGTTAATGCTTGTGGGTGCTGGTATAGCTGGTGAGGGTGGAAGAGGTATGCCAGGAGTTGGTGATGCAGAGTTGGGCTGCCCTTGCTTACTGGTTGGTTTCGTTGGCGGTGGCCTGAGCTCTTGACTGGTCGGTTCAGGGCTGGGAGGTATTTGTATTTCTGTTGGCTGCCTGGGCGGATCTGTGTTAAGTGGTGGTTGTCTAGGTGCTGGTAGCGGTCTACTGAGCGGTGGTGGTGGTCCGGGTCCTCTGCTGGCTGCAGGTGGCAGTGCTATAGGTGGTGCACCTTGTAGTTGTGTGGGTGGTCGTTGTGCTGAGGGTGTTGGTGTTGGTGTTGGTGGTAGAGTAGGTGGTCGTGCCACCGGTGTTGGCGGCATGGGTGGTGGTGGGGTGGGTGGCGGTGGTGTGGGCGGTGGTGGTTTGGGTGGGGGTGGTTTGGGTGGTGGTGGTGTGGGTGGTGGTGGTGGGTGTGATGGAGGTGGGGGTGATGGTGGGGTGGGTGGCGGTGGAGTGGGCGGTGGTGGTTTGGGTGA